CTTGGGCTTTTCTACCTTGGAAAGGTCTGATGCAGCTGTGAATATTGTTATGTATTTATCTGGTTCACATGTTCACATTTTTCCATTGGGTCAAGTGTATGCACATGTTCAACTTCAGGAACTAATGCCAAACGGTTTTTTGAAGGACTTCTATCACAGCAGCTGTACGTGAGAGCTCTTCCTGCACACAACACATGGCTTTGTCAGTCCGTGCTGGACAGCAAGCCATCCCGGCATTGAGTAGCTTGAAACAGGAATCGTTATTTCTCACAGTTCTTTGGATTGGCTGTCCTCACCTGGGCAGTTGTTCTGTTTCCTGTTATAGTCTGGGCTCACTGATGTGGGTGCATTTACCTAGGAGATTAGTTGGAATGGAATACCGAAGCTGGCTGCATCCACACATCTGGTGCGTTGGCTAGCGTGGCTGAAGCAGGCGGGGGCTGGCTCAACCTCTCTCTCTCCATGTGGTCTCTCATCATTCAGTCATCTAGCCCAAGTTTATTTGTTGGCCATCAGCTAGATCTCAGGAGTGCAAAAATAGAAACTGCTGATCTTCTCAAGGCCCAGACTCAGAAGTTACACATCTTCATTGCCACAACATCCTACTGGTTAAAACAAGGCAGTGCTAATACAGATTCCTGAGGTCAATGTCATGTGCTGTATATTATGCTATGGCAGTACTCTACTTCCAGGTACCAATTTCATATGAGTTGCTATTGCTAAAGAACAAACCACCCAAAATGTAGTAGCATAAAACAATAATTATTATTTCTCATGATTCTGAGGTCAGCTGGGCCCAACTGGATAGTTGCCCTATTTTATAAGTGGCTTCTAGAATCTTCCTTTCCCTGCTGCTCTGCAGTACCACCTTTGTCATAAATGAGCTGTCCATATATGTGAGTCTGTTTCACTGATCATTTCTGTTTATTTGTCTGTTCTTGTGCCAGTATCTCACGCTCTTATTTACACTGGCTTTGTAATAAATAAGTCCTGATATCATGTAGAGTAAGTCTTACTACTTTGTTCTTTTTGAAGCTGCCTTTAATATTCTTGGCCTTCTGCATTTCAATACATTTTTTGATAATGAGTTTGTCACACACACACACACACACACACACACACCCTGTACCTGCTGGGTTTTGACTGAGACTGTATTGAGTTATAGATTAGTTTGGTAGAACCAAGATCTATAGAGATGTATACTCTTGATTAGATTTTTAAAATGATCCCTTGATGAAATATTTAGTGATCTATGTGGAATACTTGTCCCTCTTTGCTTTAAGTTGGATTTAAATTTATTTTACAAGTGGTATATTATTGTTTGGTAAAGGTCTGTTGTTAGTAAACAGAAATCCAGATTTTTAAGTGTTGCTCTTAGCAACCCTGCTAGGCTTATGCATTTAGTCTGACAGTTGATTTGTAGATTCTTTAGTATTTTCTACATACAATTATGCCATTAATAAATAATGACAATTTTACATTTCCATTATTATACATTATATTTTATTTCCTTGCTTTGTTATATTGGATGGAATCTCAAGAACAATGTTGAATAAAGATGGCAGTAGTGATCAGAGGGGAAGTTTCAACATTTCTCTATTAAATTTAATGTTTGATATGTTTCCACATATGTACTTATTTGGATTAGGAAGTTCCCCTCAAGTCATAGTTTGCTAAGATTTTTTTGTTATAATGGACATTGAAGCTTTCAAATTTTTTTTTGTATTTATTGAGATTACCACATAATTTTCTTCTTTATTTTGTTAATTATGAGAAGAATATTGATTTTGTAATATCAAACCAAATTCTCATTGCAAGAAAAAATCCACTTTGGTGGTGATATATTATCTTTTTTATACATTGCTGGGTTTGGTATTCTAATACTTCCATCAGGAATTTTTCATCTATGTTTATAATAACACCTATAATATTTCTCTTTTGTAAGGTCCTTGTTGAGTTTTGGCAACAAGGTTATGCTGACTTCACAAAAGGACTTGGTAATAATTCCCACTTTTTCTATTCTCTGGAAGATTTTGTGTAAGTTTACTGTTATTTCTCCACTAAATGTTTTTTTAAGAGTATATTTATTTATTTTTAGAGAAGTGGGAAGAGAGCGAGAAAGGGAGAGGAATATTGGTATGTGAGTGGCCTCTGGCACATCCCCAAATGGGGACCTGGCCTACAACCCAGGCATGTGCCTTGACTGGGAATCAAACCTGTGACCTTACAGTTCACAGGCTGGCACTCAGCCCACTTGACCACACCCACCAGGGCCCTCCCCTAAATGTTTGATATATGCAAATATTGGTCCAGGAGTAGGGTGCTACCATAACAACAGCAACACATTTCAAATTATGTGGCGTTAACATCCATTCTGGCACCATGAATTAGTTATTGGACACTTGGAAAGATGGCAATCCACGCTATACAGTGGAAAAATTGTAAAACTATAGTTTTGAATATTGAATTTGAATTGAATAGGATAAAGGGCATATTATATACCTAATGAACTTGTGTTTTATGCAAGGAGTTAAAAGATTAATGTTATTAGAATGAGTTCATTACCACTGGCTGCATTTGCCAAAGTACTACAAGAAATAAAGGAGCTCAGGAAATATTTTGGCTGGTTTGTGAGCAGGAGTAAAAGAAATGCAGAAACAGCCAAAAAACTCAGGTACTTGCAAAGTTGGAAGGTGCAACTGATTCATATCTTCAACTAGTAAAGAAGCCGCTGAGAAGGGCTCTGAGCAGTAAAGTCTGCTTTAAAGCCTGCCTAGTGGCAAGGGCCACGTCAAGGGTGTGGCTGCCACACCATTGTTAGGGTCTCCAAATGGAACGAGGTGGCACCCAGCAAATGCTCTGCTGTAAAAATATTTCAGGGAAGGTAGACTTAGGGTTTGGTTCTTCCTAAGGAAGACTGATAGGCTCAAAATACTTGCAATTACTCCTAGTTGGTGTGGCTCAGTGGACTGAGAGCTGGCCTATGGCATTAAAGGGTCACCAGTTCGATTCCCAGTGTAGGGCACATGCCTGGGTTGCAGACCAGGTCCCCCGCAGGGGGTGCGCAAAATGCAACCACACATTGATGTTTCTCTCCCTCTCTTTCTCCCTCTCTAAAAATAAATAAATAAAATCTTTAAAAAAAATACTTGTGCTTAAACTTAGAGAAATGTCTCTAAACAATTGTGGCACGTAGCACTGCCTATAATCAAGTACATAAATTGAGATAGAGTTTGAGAGAGTGGTGTGATCAAAGGAATCATCGACACGTTCTAAAAGAGAATGTGATTGTTTGAGACTAAAAATAATCATTGGGCTCTAGCCTTCTACAGCAGGGTTTCACAATTGCTATAGAGTAACTCTTTTACATGTCATTCTTCTTTCAAAGTCAGAATATTTAACATAGTTATACTTTCCCTGTTCTACCATTATATATATTGTATAAAGGGGCTAGGGCCAGAAATCTTATCTTCTTGGTTCAGAGTTCTCAAGGTCAATGGGAGCTATATCTAGATCTGTAATGACTGTTATGAATCATTCATATCACCTGGATTCTAAGCTAAAAATATGGATGTGGTGGAACTTTTGGGCTACCTCTCTTAAAAAGTGAGTGAATGTTCTCTGCATGAGGGAACTGACCCAAAGGCTAAATTGCATAGACTGCATTACTGTTCATGCTCTTACATAATCCTCTCCCCTTAGTGTAGGCTGGACCTAGGGACTTGTTTTTGCACTAATCGAATAGAGCAAAAGTGATGGGATATCACTTTGGAGATTTGGCTACAAGGAGACCATGGTTTTCTCTTGTGTGTCCTCTCTTGCTCTTTCATTCGCTCACTCTGATGGGAGCCAGTTGCCATTGAGCCGGCCTGTGGAGAAGCCCATGCGGCAGCGAGAGCTGAGGCCTTCAGTCCAACAGCCCTTGAGCATTGAAGCCTCTGCCTACGGTCACAGGAATGAGCTTCAACCCTTCAGATGAGACTGGAGTCCTGGCCAGCACCTTGACAGCCACCTTATGAGAGAACTTGAAGCAGAGGTACCTATTATGGATTTAATGGTGTCTCCCCAAATTCATATGCTGAAGCCCTAACTCCCCAATATGACTGTATTTGGAGACACAACTTTATTATAAAGAGGTAATGAAAGCTAAATGAAGTTGTAAGTGTGGGGCCCTAATCCAGTAAGACCAGTATTCTTATAAGGAGAGGAAGAAACACCAGATCTCTCTCTCTCTCTCTCTCTCTCTCTCTCAATCCCTCCCTCCCTATCCTATGAATGCCTAGAAGAAAGGCCTGTGAGAATACTGCAGGAAGGGGGCCATTTGCAAATCCAGAAGAGCGGTCTCACCAGAAACCAGCTCTGACAGCACCTGGATCTTGGACTTCCGGCTTTCAGAACTGAGAAAAATAACATTTTTAGTTGTTCAAGCATCCAGGTCCGTGATATTTTGTTATGGCTGCCCCGGTAGACTAATACTACAGTACTCCACTAAGCTGTGTCTGGATTCCTGACCCATAGAAACTTTGAGATAATAAGAGTAATACATTAGCCTAATTTTTTTCCTCTGCATTCTCTTTGACTTGTGTCCTCGAAAGATGGGCAGGTGGAGTGGCATCTCTGTGCCCTTCTGAGTCCTGCTTTCTGCGGGGGGCGGGGGCGGGGCGGGCAGGGTAGTGGTGGAAATAAAGTCTGCATTCCTGGCTGATACAGAATCATTCAAATTTCTGTCCCTTTCTCAGCAAAGTGAACACAGCTCTCTTTTAGATTTACATTTGGCTGCCATGAGATGAGGACAGAATAAATTTCAGTGACTTGGAAATGAACTCCCTGTGTATATTTGTATAGATTATCTTCCATGGATCTATATGTAAATGAGTTGCTATAATTATATCATTTCTATAAGGACAATATTAATATATTAGATGTTTCTAGGTGATCGTAATTAAACATCTGTTGAAATGAACCTAGTTTCTAGGACTGGAAGAAAATAATTTGCTGAAATGTCAGCTGGAGCTTCTTCCAGAAAAACCCTGGAACTGGAGAGCTTCCGCACGAGGTTCAGTGCCTGGACACCATTTAGCAACAAGTCTTTAAATAGACAGGTGAGTTACATACTCTAGAATAAAGCAAGTTTAATTGGTAAGGTTGATTTTATTGTGATATATTGGGTCTCATGTTGCCATATATTTTTGGGGGGGTGGGAAGCACCCCTAAAGAGTGTAGTTTTTGAGTCACCTTAAAAATAAACCTACATTTGTCTGCGCCAAAGGCAGTTTCTTCTCACTCTAGTCTTCAACTCCTGCCTTACAGGAGGCTCCAATCTGTTTCCCCCTCCCTCTGTACCTCCAGGGACAAAACAAGTACCTCCAGAGCACACACTGTTTACGGTGATAGGGGAGCCAAAAGAAGAAGTGCTTTGGATGGTGTGGAGAAAGTTAATGTATAGGGCTGGGCAAAGGTAGGTTAGCAGTTGTTAGTACGTGAAACACCGAGTTTATTCTTGTATTATTTTTATTATTGTATTATTTGTATTATTTGTCTTATTATTATTATGTTATTATTTCATATCTTTAGTTCCAGTTTATCTTTTAGGTAATCATGGCTGGTCATTTAAACCTGCCCCTGTATAGTTCTCTGTGTATTTCTTTAATCCTCTCTTCCCTTGTGTGCCAACTGTGTGGTTTGATGGCCTGGGGATGTCCCCTTTGAAAGGTAGCCCAGGACATAGTCCTTGAATGGCTCTGCCAGGCCTTACTGGAAAAGGCTGGCTGGGCCCACAGCTCATGTGTGGTTCCAGTTGGTTCACAGAGGAAGGGGACTCTACCAGCGCGGACCAAAGCCGGTCTGAGGAACCCAGCCAGCGAGTCTGAGTATGTCATCTGAGCAAAGCTGGACTGGAACCCAGGCTTGGGGGGATGCTGGTTCTCTGTGTATGTCTTTCCTGGAGACATGCCTGACAATGGCTATGTAGCAATATTTATTAACTTTCATTTTGGTGGGTGCTAAGATGTAGGACTGTGAGTTAGTAAAAATCATGCTTACTTCAAATGACCTTGTTTTCACAATGCAACAAGGGTAGCCTGGTTGTGTTTTCAAGATGAAATATTTGGAATCTGTTCCCCCAGGCCATATTAGCCAAGGTAGAAACGAGAGCCAGGATTCTTTTCCCCTTTGTTTTGAAAGAGGCCTCCTCAGGCCCTTCTGTAATTATATCTCCCACCAACCTTTTCCACCAGCCCACCCAACAAGCCTGTGCTTGTCTGTATCCAAAAGCAGGTTAAGCTGAAGGGAGAGACCACTCGTAAGTATGTGAAAATGCTTTGTGAACTGTAAAGCGCTATGCAAATATGAGCTGTGAGGTTGTTAGATTGCCTAAGGATTGCTTAGCAACTAAGAATATATTCAGCTATACAGAAAACTGTCATTTTCCCCCCTTTATAGCTCTTTCAGGAAAGAGTTGCTCTTATAAGTCATTGGTTTGACCTCTGGACTAACAAGCAACGTCAAGAATTCTTATACACGATACTTTTACGATGCACTAAATCACAATTAAGGTAAATGTGGCTTATTGAGGTAATTGTCATTGCTTCTTAAAGAAAATAAAATGTAGTAAAATGTTTATATAACCTTTAAAGGTTTTTTCCCTAGGAATAAAAAACAAACAAAGCCATTGATAGTTTAAGGTTTATAAACACACTCTTCCGCTGCTGCTTCCTTGAGGGGGAAATGGAACCTCTGGGGCTTTAGTTTCTTCATACCACAGGGAGGTATTTGATTTTTGCAAAAACTTGTAAATAGCTTCAGCCAGTGAGGTTTTAACATTCCCCTAGTATCTTAAATCCTCCCTGGAACTATCAGACAGACAAGACATATCAAGTAGGTATTTGATAAGTAGGTAGGCACTCCATATATATGGGTTACATGAATGGATGGATCTGAAAAATATCTGAAGTATCCGTGGTAACAACATTTAGGAATATGGGCAAGACTTGTACAGTAGCGGTCAGTGATTGTCAGTGGGCCCTTGTTCTTGCTCTTACCCTTCTCTCCTATTATGTCTACAATTTACTTTGAAATACTCCAGCAAAGACTGCATGATATTCGAAGGTGTTGGTTGAAATACCAGGGGTGGCTAGTACTCAGACCAGGAATTAATACTAGCATTGTATTGGAAAGGTGGCGGTCTCAGTTATCACCAGACACTTTGTTAGTTAACACAGCAAATATCAGACGCTAGTTATTATCAGAGCAACGAGTGGCTTGTTGATTTGTCAGATGAATGTTACAAATAGAGACTCCTTGGTGAAATTAAAGATGTGGGACAGACCAAAATATTCTAGAGAGCCCTCCAGCATGCCTGGGCGTGGTTGAAGAATCCTGCCAGGCTGGTAGCAGGGGCTTCAAGGGGTGGTTTCTTAGGTTTCATCCCCAAATAAATGGCCTTGTCAATCTGGGGATTTCTGGTAGCCTGAGGTCAACAGTGAGGGTAATGATGGAATCCTGTTTCTGGAACTTGTACTGTTTCTTAATTGAGTGAACCTTTCACCCAAAGGACAGAGAGCTGGGTTTTAAGCCTATGGAAGAGACTGTGTGAACTGGTCCGGGCCTATGTGCTAAGGTGTTAGTGGCTTTCACTGCAACCCGGTGGCAAGGTTGGGGGGACTTTGAACTTCGTAGGTAGCGACCAAAAAGTACTTTGATTGAGAGCTGTGTAAGACCAAATTCGCTTATTTTAATTTGCAACAATTGCCTCCCATTTTTTCTTGCTCTTTTTCACCTCTCTTACCTAATTGCTCACCTTCTCAGTTGTCAGCTTTCTCCTTCCTCTGCGGGCACATAGTGGACTGTCCCTTATGAGGTCACTGAGTCACCAGAGGGAGACATACCTTCCTGGTTGTGCTGAAAGAGCTGCAAAAACAAGTCACAGAAAAATAGCTCTTCAGTCAACACTTAGAAATCAGGGAAGGGAACTTTTTATGGCAGGCACTGGCTAGGTTTTCTTTTACTCCAACTTGACAGCTTTCAAGATAAGAAAATGAAAGACCAAACCCCATATCCATAATTGCTTTGTGGTGTAGTCTCAAGTATCATAAACCAAGCAATTTTAGTTGTCAACACTAGAGGTCACTAGAGAACTTCTGGTATATTTTGAGGCTTATTAACATTAGGCCTGACATTTTGTCACTGGAAATTGCATCCTTTGTCTGGTATCTGAATTCTTCTTTCTATGGGACAAGGATATGGAACTAATCTGTTCAGTGAAATTACTTTGCTTTGTTTCCTAGCAGCTGTGTTTCTGCAGAGAGCTGTTTGTATTTCATAGTTCCACAAAGCTGTTATTACTTGTTCTGAGCTGCCGATTTTAGGGGGAGTTGTATGTCAATTTCTGGTCTCTAGATTTGGCATCCTGAACCCATCTTTAATTTGTAGTGGTGTTTTTTGTTGTTTAACACCAATCAGTTCACTCCCCAAAGTCTGGATTAGGCCTTCCTTATACTCCTTTCTCCCCATTTCTTTTAATCAGCCATTTCTTCTCTTCCACCAACATCTCTAGATCCCGCGTGCCCATGTGTAATCCAACGTGAACCGTGCTCACTTTAAATGAAATCTTAAAGCCCAAATTGTTTTATTTTTTAGATTAAAGTTAGTTCAATCAACTCTCTTTTAAACATCTTTATTCAGATATAATTCACATACAATAAAATATATCCTTTTAAAGGGTACAGTTCAACAGTTTTAGTAAATTCAGAGTGTGCAACCATCACCTACATTGAAGTTTAGAATTTGTTCATCACCCCCAAAAGAAACGTCTACCCATTGGTAGTCTCCTCACCTCCACCTCCCAGCACTGGGAAGCCACTAATCTACTGTTTCCATAAATTTGTCTTTTCTGGACTTTTCATATAAATGAGACCATACACTATGTGGTCTTCTGTGACTGGCTACTTCCATGTACTATACTGTTCTCAAAGTTCAATAATTTTGTAGTATGTATCAGCACTTCTTTCCTTTTTATTGCCAAATATTCCACAGCATATGGATAGGCTATTATTTTATTTATTCATTTATCAGATGATGGTCACTTGAGTTGCTTCTACATTTTGGCTACTGTGAATAATGCTGCTATGAACATTTGGATACAAGTTTTTCTGTATGGGTGTGTTTATTTCTTTTAGGTATATGCCTGGGAATGGAATTTCTGGGTCAAATTATGACAGGCAATCAACTTTTGATTATTAAGCATTTCTTTGAAATCATATTTATTCCTATAGTCCCTGTTCCCCAATAACTGAGAATAAAGTTGTGGATAAATGGGAGAATTTAGCATTGTTCAAATGACTGAAATCTCTGTATGTAGGCAAGTTCTATGTTTGTGCAAAATACCTTGTTTTCAAGGCAGAGAAGCCATTGTTTTAGATGTTTTGTTTTGAAATTTCTGAATAATATTGCTTTACTTCAGGCAGTAGAGCTATGAAGCTTAAATAAGATATTGCACTATTGGTCAGCAATATGGTATTACAACTTCTGTAAAAGTTTCTTCTGAACTTCTATGAGACATATTTAAACATCTCATACGTTCCTTTCCTAATAAATATTCCATATTGTTACAATTTAAGAAGGTTTCTTTGACAGAGTTTTATGACATTTAAGACAGTTTTCAAAGGTTCAGCTTCTGAAACCATCCCTTTGGCAAATTCTCCCTCTCACCTCAACTTAAATGTCACTTCTCCTGGGAAGCGCTCCCTGCTCATTTTTCACCCCCAGCAATTTTTGCAAACCTCCATCATGGCATTTCCCCCAGTACATTGTGCCTTTGTGGGCACGTGTCTAATGGTTTCCAGTGGTGTCGCCCCTCTATCACTTGACTGGGCTCACCTTTCCTGTGACTCCTTAAAGGAAACTGGGCTGTTTGTGTCTGTCACATGTGGAGAAACCTATGAGAAGTTTGCACCTGTCTCCTAGCCATACTGGTGAGACCGGTTTCAAATTGCCTCTGCTCAGTACCAGGCGACGCCCCACACAAAGGCCCTCAGTCCAAGGCTGGGGCTGTTCAAACTTGTAGCTTTGCTTCATGGGTGGGGCAACATTCACACAAATTCATTTTCAAGAGATGGATTGTCTGTGTATGTGTGTGTTTCTCAGGGGGAGAGGGAGATAATGATCAGTGAGGGATTCACTTTCCTCATTTGTCTCCCTCAGAGCCAACTGGAGTGGGGTTGGGGGCAGGGAAACGTACCAACATACAGTTAAGAAAGCACCATGCCCCCCGGCCTCCCCCTGCCAACTTCAGTACACCCGCCCTTCTTCCCAAGCCACTGCTGGGAGAGCTCAGTTGAAGACATGTATCTGCTGTGAACTGTGAGGTAATCTTGTAGACAACATAATTCTAGGTTAACTTTGCATGTAGAACAGCCACATCACTGTGAGTTACTGAACATCCATTTGAATGAATATTTTTGTGTGGAGGCAGTGGAGAGGAGAGGGGAGTGTTCAGGGACACGCTGGTTTTCTAAATATGTAACACAGTCTTGAAATTCAAGTCATCTCGACTTTTCCCTCCCCTCAACTCGTAGTCTGGACACGTCCCTGTCCCTTCACAGAGATCATGTGGTCATAGGCAATCACGTGAAATGTTAGCATTTCTTGTTGGGGCCGAGGAGTAGGGGAGGTTCAGGTGTGAATGAGGCTAAGAAGGAAAACCCTTGAGTTTAAAAGAAAAGGAGAAACCCAATTAAAAACCCAAAGCTGTCTAACTGAGTGGGGATGGGAATAGAAGGAGAGAGGATGGTAGGAAGTTCATTGGCTTATATTAGGCAAACCTGTGCTCTCGAAGTCCTCACTTCCAACTTGTAAATGGTGTCTCTGTATTTAATAATGTGTAGCTGACCTTTGAAGCACTAGCACCACCTCACATTATGTTATACACAGTACTTGGTTTGTCTACTGTCCCCCTGCCCACTAGAATGTGAGAGCTTTCTCTGGTGACTCTTTCTCTCCCTAGCACTTAGAGCAACACCAGGGACCTAGGAGCCACTCAATAAATGCTTGTTGAATGAATGAAGACGTCTACAACACCCCTATTACAACAATAACAAAAAGGTAATCAGAAAAAAAGATTTCACTTGACAGTCCTCAGGAGGAACACATTTTTCAAGATATTAGAAGTTTTTGAATAGAGGTAATTACTAACACCTTGCTTCATTCAAGACTTTGCATTATTTAATTAATTCAAGACCTCTATAAAGCAAATCCAAAAGTAATTATGCACGGCGATAAAACCTGAGGGCGTCCTGCCTCCCGGCCCCAGCGGCCGCTATTTCACACCGTCATCTGTGGGCATGGCACCTCTGGGAGGTCATTGCACAACTTCCCAAACGCAGCAGCCCAGGTAACACTACCAGCCATTTATAAAATATATGATGTTAGCTTTCGGATCTACCAGGTGCCCTCTTAACCTCTGTGTAGGAGCAATCACATTCATGGAGAATTCGGGGGCGGGGAGAATGGAGACAAGGTTTCAAGGGACTCTTTGTCTGTAGTCTGTGTTTAAGAG